GCGCGGGTCCGGTCCGGCGGGCGGGGTCGCGGAGCCGGGGCTGCCGCGGGACCGCGAGTGACAGCCCGGGGCGGAGGGCGGAGCTCAGGAGATGAGGTCACCCCGGCGAAAAAGCCCCTGACGTCACCCGCAGCCAATCAGCGCGCGTGGCCCGGGGCAGGTGACGTCAGCGGGTGCGGAGGAGAGGCGGTGGCCGGGGGCGGGGCCGGGGGCGGGGCCGGGCGGGCCGGCACCGTTTTTTAAAGGGGCCGCAAGGCGTCGGGGCCCCTCTCAGACCCGCCTGGGAGGGCTTCACAGCCCAGGGCTCTGTGTGTCTTAGGAGCCCCACGGCGCGCCCCTCGCAGAACTGCAGGCTGGTCCGGCGGCCCTGGCTGTCGCAGGGTGCCGACCCCGCCCGCCGGTCAAGCTGGCGCCCGTGTCCCCTTCTCGCCTTTGTCCACGCAGCCCCCCTCCCCAAGGACTGGGTGTCCTGATGGAGAGGACCTCGCCTTTGGGCGGGACTGCCCAGCTTCCCCGCAGGGATGGGGCGCCCCCAACTTCCCGCGACCCTGCAGGGGGAGCCCGAGCGCCAATGCGCACCCCAGGCGACAAGGTGGCCCAGGCCACTCTCCTCGTGACCTCCAGCAGGAGGCCTCCAGCGCCGACGGCGTCCTCGGGGCCCCCAGCCACCCAAGACATCGCTCCCTACCCGCACATGCCTCCCAGTCGGAACATCCCACCCCAGGCCTGCAGTGCAAAGCCGCCCCGCCTCGCTCTCCGTGCCCACCCTGATTCCCCCACCCCACGCTGGGGGTGGAGTCTGGCACTCAGCCCACGCCGGGGACACAGTCTGGCAGGTGCTCTGACAGGGGCCGGGCATGTGGGAGTGGTGAGAGGGTCTGGCAGGCCTGGACCGCACAGGCGGCAGCCCAGGAGGGGTCAGGCGGGGAGTGGGCCTTGGGTGTTTGTGGATAAGGTCCTGGCAAGGTTCAGGGGCAGCAGGGTGCTTCATCTGGTGCCCCCTGAATGTTCACTGAGCGCCCACTGGGGACACAGCCCAAAGGACAAGCCCCGCCCCAGCCTTTCAGTCACCAGCTTTGGGGGATTGGAGAGAGAGGCACTGGACTTAACCCGAGGTGCCCAGGTGGACTGCTGCGTGGACAGCAGTGTTGGCCTCTTGCACTGCGGGGCTCAGCCAAGAGTCTAGGGTCCCTGTGCTGGGGCGGGGGGTGCCGGAAGGGCAGCGGGCGTGGCTGAGCACCAGCTTCCCGGGCATGGGGTCGCCGAGGGTCCCAGGGTGAGTGAATGGGGGGGCCCTGGTTGCAGGTGGTGTTCTGGAGCTTCTGCGGCCCCTCCCTGCAATCGGGAGAGGGGCTCGCTGTCCTGTGCCAATGGGAGGAGAGCAGAGTGGGTTCCTGGCTCAGAGCCGGCGCAACGAGGGGGAGGCTGGAAGGAGGCCGTGCGCCCCAGGACCACTTGGGGCTGGCCCTGGGGTCAGGTCTCCCCTTCTGCCCTGTCCCAGGCCAGTGGAGGCTCAGGTGGCCAGTTCAGCCCGGCCAGGTCAGCGTGGGCGCTGGGTGACTGTGAAGTGGGCGGGTGGGCGGGGCCTGCCCAGCTGGCGTCCCGGTTCCTCTCCTTGCCGGCCGGCAGAGCCCCTAGGTGCGGTCATTTCTCCTGCCTTCCCGCAGCCAAAGCCTTAGGCTCCACACCACCGGGGGGGAAGGCGGCCCTGGGTGCCCTCACCGAGCACCCAGCAAGCCCAGCCTTCCAGGGCCCCGTGGGCTGGCACGGCTTCGTCCTCTCCAGGCGCAGGTGCGGGCATCCGAGGCGGTGGCGGAGTGCGCTCAGGGTCGCTCTCCACGCGGTGGCCGCACTGGGCGTAGATGGTCCGCGCGCGCCCTCTGGCGTCCGCAGCTCACCACTGCGGGAGGCCGTGCCTGGCGACCTCCTCTTGTTGATCTGTTCATTGCCGCAGCTGGGGCGCAAGGTGGCCCTTGTGCTGTGGCGTGGAGCTAGCGAAACGCCCACCTCAGGTTCAAGCAGACGGTTTCCCTTTGCTTCTGTGTTTAAAGTTACTGCTCTTACTATTGTGGTACTGGGAAGGGACCTGGAATCTTGTGCAGGCTGGGCAGGCGCGCTGCCCCAAACTACACCCAGCCCTGTGAATTTTATTGAAGTCAGAATCACACGCCGTAGCACTTGTCATCTTACCACGCACAAGTGACAGTCCAGTGGTGCCAGGCACACTCAAGTTTCAGAGGAGCCCTCGCCAACCTCCACGTGTGGACTCCTCGTCAGTGGAATTGAGCGTCTGTCCCCATGGGTGCTGACATCGCCCCTCCCCGCCCCTCACTCAGGTAGACTGGGGGAGCCACTCTCTGAGGGGATCACTACCCAGGACAAAGCCCTGGCCTCTTCTGTCAGCCGCTCCCGCCCTCCCGCGGAAGCTCTCCTGTGCACATGGCTTCCTCCATGCAGGGCCACGCGGTGTTCCTGCTTTCCCACAACCTGATTAGAAATGTCTGTGTGGTGGTGTATTTTATGGGTACATGGTGACATTTGAACAATTCTTTCTTTTTCTTTTCTTTTTATTGGGTGGGGGGGTACAGGGGATTGAAGTCAGGGAGCATGTAGTATGTATTTTTATTTTGGGACAAAGTCTGGCTGAGCTGCTGCTATAGTTCAGATCTAAAGTGGTTCCATGGCACTACTGGGGGGTGATGGAAATGTAGGAGCTGGGGCCTAACTGAGCCCGGTGGGTCCTGAGGGTGTGGCTACATTCAGTCCCTGGGCACCTCGTCCCTGCCTTTCCCCTTCTTCTCTGCTTCCTGGCTGCTCCCTGGGAGCCACTGTCCTCCTGCACACCATTCTCACGATGGTTCTGCCTTGGAGCCAGCTGACTGTGGACTGAACCCTCTGCAGATGTGAGCCAAGATCAATCTTTTTTCCCCTAAGTTGGTTTTTCTCAGGTTTTCTGTCATTGACAAGGCTGGCCTCAAACGTTTGGTCCTCGTGCTTAGCCCCCCAAGGAGCCGGGGTACAGGTGTGCACCGCCATGCCTAGCTCAACTTTTGTATCTTTATTTTTATATTTTGGCTACTAAAAATAGCAGTGAGTGGCATCCTTTTATATGCTGATAAGACACCCTGGTTTTAAAATTATGATAGATTTTGACTTACAAATGTGCACAGAAAAGGGAGCCAATCACCGGCAGCTACACCCAGCAAAGGCGCCACCTCCCTGGTTTTCTTCAGGTCAGAAACACTGCAGTGAGCATGCAGGGGAGTCTGTAAAAAGCCTTCAGTAGGGCTGGGGATTTAGCTCAGTGGTTCGGCCACCTGCCCTACAAGTGCAAGGACCTGAGTTTGATCCTGGGTACCAAAAAAAAAAAAGATTTATTTACGTGAAAATCATATTATAAAGTAAGATTTTCTCTGATTAGATTGAGCCATATAATAATAAAATGACCAATTCTTCACTCAATGTATTTATACATAAGCACTGCTTTTACTTTTGAAACTTTTCGAGAATGACATGGAAAGGCAACTGGCCAGACATGATTACAACATCTGAAAAACTTCACACAAAGCTTTATTAACTTGGAAGACACGGGGCATTCTCGAGCACAGGACCCTGGGTCCCTGTTTGGCTGGGGAATCACGCAGCACAGGGCGGGCAGCACAGTGCCCCAAAGGGGGCTGAGACAGGGGGGTTTCCAGATAGGAGCCGGCTTCTGGCTCACACAGCACAGGGACCCCACCTCCAGGAGGACTGCAGCCCCGGGGCCGAGGGCCAACTCTGCAGGCATGCGAGGACAGGATGTGGCGGTAACACTGCCATCATGGGAGGGGCACTGGGTGGGCCCCCGAGCACCCGTGTGGGGGTAAGGTGGGTTTGAATATTGCAAACTGAGGCCGCCTGTCAGCTGCTGTGACAAAGGCACTGAGAAAGCAGGCGCCACAGTTGCTGATTGCCCTGCGTATAAGCAAGGAACTCTCCTTCCCGACAGTGAGCAAAGCCCAGCGATTTATGACAGAACAGCGGCCAAGGATGGCTCTGGCACGGAGAAGGAAGCCAGACCTGCGCTGTCTGTGACACGCACAGTGAAGCTCAAGGTCTAAACGCTTAAATGTGACAGGCAGGCATGTGAAGGTGATGGGAGAGGCTGTGTTTGTGGCCTTGCTGGGGACAGGGGGTGGGGCAGGATCCCTTCAACACTCAGCCCTCTGCTCCTCGGACGCTCAGGTGGAGATACTGGGTGGACCAGAAGAGGGGTCCAACTCCTCCCCCAGGGCCTTCTGGAAAACCTCCCATAAGTGCCCCTGGCACCTCTGCCTCTCCATTCTCCCTGCAGAGTCATAAACCAAGGGTTGATGCTGCTGTTCACACTGGACAACCGTACAGAAGCTCATATTCTTAGGGATGAGGAGGTCTTCACTCGAAACTAATCCCACCATAGGGAAGGGAAAAGGACACAACTGCGAGGAGCAGGATGCTGCACAACATGCGTGGACACACCCTGCAGCTGCATTTGATTTGAGAAATGTAATCACAACGGCCAGTAGTGTTGCAGACACAATAATGAAAAGAAACACAAATAACCCTATAAAAATAGCTTACACACCTTGTCAGTTCATGACACATACGAGCAGTTCAGTATACACAGTGCAATTAGGGACATGGCCAAGACCCAGATCAGAACTCACGATGGTGGACCAGGACTTTGGATAGTGCAGCCGGTACCAGATGGGGAAGAAGATGGACAGGCAGCGGCTTGCGCTGATGATGATCAGCAGACAGAGCCCAGCTGTTTAGAATGTGAAAATGAGCTCCCTAAAATATGGAAGAGAATTGGAGCTGTAAAAGTGGTGACCAGAATGGGAGCCCATGACACAAAAATGCACAAATGTCTCTTGCACGAAATTCACTAGCAGACAGGCGAGGATAAAGTCAGTCAGCCAGACACGAGTGAACGACAAAGACGGAGAAGCGGTCCCACTTGACAAAGAAGAGCAGGAGGTGGAAGAGCAGCCCATTGTCCCCCAGCCCCGGAGGGAGACGAGGACAGCCAGAGGGGAGAGGATGTGCACAGCCTGGGTGGACGGTCAGGGTAATGACAGGTGTCCTCATGTGTCCCATTCCCGGGGCTTGCGGTAGAATTACAAGAGCCCACTGTGGGGCCCGCTCCGCCTGGGCGCGTCCACGCATCGAGGACCTGCGGGGAGAATCATCGCACAAACTCCCCTGGGACCAGCCGGGCACAGCGACCCACGGCCTCCACACGCGTCCTCCAGCTCACGCGTGTGCAGGGCGCTGCGTCACCAGCCCTGTGCTGACCCTGACACCGCCCCCAGCAGAGGGGACGCAACCACCGCAGTCAGCGGGCGAACGAACAGTGGCCAGGGAAGGCGGAGAGCAGGGCCGGAGGCTGAGGAGCGGCCCTCGCGTGCTGACCTCGGCCTGCGTCGCAGCCGCCACTCGTCCCTCAGAGAGGGCTCCACGGACCCCGGGTCGCTCCTTTCTCCCCGCCCCTCTGGGGTCACCATTGCCATCTCCGACCCCTCCCCTCTCCCCTGTCCCCGGGTCACAGGGTGGAGCTCAGCCTGGCCCCTTCTCCACGGACACAAGCCCTCAGCAGGGGAGGGTCCCACGTGGCACCACGCTGCCCTCGGGAGCCTGGCTCAGCTGGACCCTCTGTCCACCTCACCCCGTCCAGGCCTCCCCATGGCCCCGGACTCCCTGACAGCGTGTGCCAGCGGTGACGCCCTGCCCAGGGGTCCGTCCTCTCCTGGACCACTGCAGCCCCCACACCGCCCCCGGGAACGGCCCTGAGACCCAGGCCACAGGGGCCCTCTGCTCAGAAGCCCAGGGTGCTCCTCGCTTGGGGGACAGGGGCTCCCAGGCCAAGGTGCACAGCAGCGGACACTGGTTTCCTGCCCAGCCTCTCTTCCTCTTCCCTCTCGTCCTCCCTCCCTCCTCTCCTCCACCTGAGGTGCCAGCATGTGCCCTTGCACTTGCCATGGTGCAGGTCTGCGCCCCAGCTGCCTCCTCCCAGGTCCCTGACCTGTGCCCCTCACCCACGGTGCAATGCAGCCCCCGCCCCATGCTGCCCCACCCTGGCCTGGGTACTTACTTCTGGTCACTGTCCACCTTCCTCTCCCACAGCCACTGCTCCCGGACGGCAGGTGTCTGAGTCCCTGGCTCCAGGGAAGACCTCGGCCCCCAGGGGGCGCAGCTAATTTTGCTCCCACCCGTGCACTCAAGAGAAGCAAGGCCAGTGTTCACTCCTGTGAGAGCCGTCATTACCGTGGCCCCTCGTGGGGATCACCGAGGTACACAGCGCAATGCAGGCCGTGCACACTGGGCTGAAGCACCACCGGCACCCAGCGTGGTGAGGAGACCATCGCCAGGGACCATGTGCAGAGCACACACAGCCGTGTGAGGCCCAGGCCAGCAGGTGTGTGGCAGCAAGCAGAGGAGCGAGTGCCGGACTGTGGGCGGACAGACACGGAGGGAGATTTCAGGTGGGCTCGGAGTTTGCTTTCAGGGAGATAAAAGTGCTCTGATTAAGTTAGAACACAGCGCTGTGAAGGGCAAAAACCACTGCCTTGTACACTTTAGGTGGTGATTTGTATGGTATGTGGCCTATATCTCAGTAAAGTGGTTCTATAAAAATAAATAATAATAGAGGAATACTATGAAAGTGTTTGGAGAAATTTAAAGTTTTCATCTACAAAAAGCATGAGCACCCAGCTTACACTGAAATCCAGCAGCAGGTTAAAAAGAGCTATCGCCATTACTAAGTAGGCTCGGCTTGTCTCAGGAAACAGGTGGGTTCATCACCGAAGAAAAAGCCTCCCTGTTGGCTGCGGTTGGAAGTCGGATGACAGGAAGGCCTAGTAGAGGGCTGGGTGCCCCCAGAGGCGGGGCCTGTGGGAGGAGTCAGGTGTGAGGTGAACCCAGGGGTACCTAAACTCAGCGGGCTGGGAGGGTGCAGGGAGGCCCAGGAGCGCGGGTCCTTACCTTCCTCCGGCCTCGGGCTCCAGAAGACCTCTGTCCACCTCTCGGAGGCGGCATCTTTGTGTGGGAAGCCGGGCTGGGGCTGATCCTGACGGGAGCCTGAGAGCCTGGGCAGAGGACATCGGAGCTCCCAGGAGGGGCCCACCCAGGGCCATATCACTCCCTGCGAGCCCTGCGAGGACCTAATGGACTGAGTGCTGGAGGAAGGAGGCTCCCAAGGAGACATCAAGAGACGCTGGGCACTCTGCCCTCAAACTCCCTGCACAAGGGAGAGCTGAGGCCCAGAGAGCGCATGCGCTGTGTCTGGAGGCAGCCTCCCTAATGCAGCAGGTGCCACGCTCGTCTCCCCCAGCCCCCACTCCTCACAAGAGGTGCCTCCTGCTGCGTTCACCATCTCCAGTACCCAGGCGCCTCGCTCCCTGACCTCACACAGACCCCCCCTCTGTCCAACAGCATCTGCACTGGCAGCATCAGCCCAGCATCCCCTGCCCTCGGCCACTGGCCCATGGCTGCCCCCCACGCAGGGGACACTGGAGACCTTTTTGATGTGGCTGGGTGAGGAGATGACAGGCGAAGGACTAGTACCCAGAATTAAGTGACACAGCTAAGTCAGGGCAATGGGCGTGTCGGGGCCAGACTCTGGGCACTGCTCACCAGCGTGGGCACCAGCCCCTGCACCTTTCCCGGGTCCCTGAGGACAAAGGTCTTCCAGACCCAGTGTCTCCAGGCCATACCCAGGACATCCTTCCTGGCTGCTCAGTGTCTCATCGGGGCTCGGGAAACAGATCCTAAGTCATGCAGCTCCATGGTGAACTGGGCTGGAGCAGGGATGTGGCTCCCTGTGAGGCTGCTGAGCAGGGTGGGCACAGGGAGAGTGGGAGGAGTGGGGGGCTGGACATCGGCCTGGTGGCTCAGGAAGACCTCTCCCTGGGGCCATTCGCTCCTGAGAGAGATCCTCTGGGGTTTGCCTGAGCCTTGGTGTGCAACTGAGGCTCCCGTCTAACCCCTCGGTCCTGGGAGTCTGTAGGATCTTGCACTGCCGCTCCTGGGCTCCCAGCGCTGATTTGTGTCCCCATCCAGCAGCTTCGGGGCCTGGGAAAATCTCAATGATCCCACAGCTGGAAGCAGAGCCCACCTCGATCTGGCCTGGCTCAGTCCTGCATCTAAGAAGCAATGAGGTTTTAATCTCCTGTTAGAATCCTTTCTCCACTTCTGCCTCTGGGGCCTCAGTAGTCCCTGGGCTCAGCAAGCACCCCATGAGGAAGTCTGGTAGAAGGTTTAATGCCCAGCTTGTCTCTGCAGCCTCAGGACTGTCACGGGGTTATCTCCACTTAAGTCCACAGATGTCCCCAGAGGACGGCAGCTGTCATAATGACGCCACCTCTGAGCAAACCTCCTATCCCCGCCACCCCCATTGATTGTTCAGATGGATTTACTAGAATTATTTGGCTTGTCCAAGGGTGAAGCTGAAGCCTCACCCGCTCCTGACACTGTATTCTGCCAGAGAGCGATTGTAGGATTGCCCAGGCCACAGAGAGCCTACTGACCTGTGAGGGCAGCATGTGGGCTAGGTTTTTTCTGGAAAGCCTTTTGTAAGGGGAGACATTCATCATATTTGAGCTTCTGTTGGAATAATCCCTTCGTGTTATGGTTTAGATCTAAAATAGCCCCCAAAGTCTCATGTTTGGAGGTGGGGCCTGGTCAGAAGGGACGGGACGCGGTGGGCATAACTGGAAGGTGAATGCTGACAGGAATGGCGACAGCAAAGGCCAGGCTCAGGAGGTTTCATCTGGGAAACAGAAATGTGGCTCTGATCTTAAATTGCTCTGAAATACAGAAGCAGGGTGAACAGCTACACAAACAAAAGCAGAAAGCCAACATCATATCAGAAACAAAGGAAAAGGGCAAGGAGAAAGAAAACAAGTGAGAAATTAAAGAAAAATGGAAGAGAGAGGATGAGGAGAGGAAGGCCACCTCTCATTAAGGGAGAGCACAGGTGGGGACAGCATGCTGACCAAGGTCGCCACAGAAAGCAGAGGCTGGTGATGTGTGCTGCCCTCTGCAGGACACACGTGGCAACTGAGACATCTGAAAACAGCGCAAGCACCCCAGAGACAGACAGGGAGGTCTGTCTCCTGGAAGCTCCCGGAAGCCAGGCACCCAGCCCAGCAGGTCTCCCAGAGCTGGGTGGGTTCTATGTGACGACCCAAGCAGGAGCTTGTGGGGTCAGAGCCCGGTTTTCCTCATCAGCTCACCCGGGGATGAAGGAAGCGGCGAGGGTCAAGCTGTGAGATTGGACAGCAAAGGGTGGGGAGGGCGCTTTACTTGAGGTTTTGTTTTTGTTTTTGTTTTTACCGGGGATGGAACTCAGGACCTTGCCTTGCAAGGCAGGCGCCGGCACCGCTGAGCTAAATCCCCGGCACTTGAGATTATTTTTTAAATGGTTGCTAAAACTCACTATATGATTATCTTAGTAAATAAAACAAAAAGTCTGACAACTTTCACCAGATTTATATTCCTCTGTAACAAAGAATACCAGTGAAGAATCTACTGCAAAGGCACAGAACGCCACACCATTGTGTCACCGTTACTCTGGGACAGTCTGTGTCTTTTTCACCCTATAGTTGATGCTGGCACAAGGAGTCATAGTCAGTAAACAGGTTAGTAAATGTATGTGCACATGTAAGCGAATGGTATACACGGACAAGTGTACAGGCAGAAATGAGAGGGGTGTAAACTCCAAGACACTGCATCACTGTCAAGGAAGGGCGAGCTGGATGACCAGCAACCTTCATCACAGCTTTCTCAAATGCGGGCAGTAACTGTAGTCATGGTGTTGGAATGCAGTCACAACTTTGTAACTAAAGTCAAAACCCTGTTTTGGCTGTGGGGTTCATTAGGGAAAGGAAAGGCTGCTCAGAGTGGAAGGCAGGCACAGAGCCACACCGAAGTGGCCACCGAGCAGGGTAAAAGGACGTGGTAAGGTAAGGAGGCACAGGCACACGAGGCGCCTGATCTGCCAGGACCCAGCCAGTGCTGCAGCAGCCGACCCAACTCCTACTTGGGGAGGATTTGGCATGGCCACATCCTATTATCTACGAAAGCCGAGCATGTGGGTGCCCAGGGAGCCAATATGACTCCATGAAAGTCACAAAAGACCATTTTATAAATGACTTAAGATGCTACCTCAATCATCATAGAAGGGTGTGTCACAGAAAACTGGTGAAAAACACAGCTTGTTCTGCAGACAAAGACCTTCATTTCAGTGAGACAATAACAATGTCTTCTTGCTCCAGTCTCTGGGTCTCCCTCCCCTGTATCTTTCTCCTGTCTTAACTAGGTTCTTGACAAGAACTTAGGAGAAGAAACTTTGCACAAGACCACCAATCCGGGGATGGGCAGAGGGTGGAAGAAGGACAAAGTATAATGGCCACTGGGCCACGGTGCAGGGTGGCAGTGCACGGAACAGAGTCCTCCCTCAGAGATGTCAGCTCTGACCCAGACACCGGATGCCTGTGCCCTCCGGCACCATGTGAGAAGGGGTGAGGTGCCACCCTGAAGGCCACGGAAAGACAGCAGGCACTGCCTCTTGGGGTGGAAGCACCTCGTGCTGGCAGATTTGGGGCCTTCAATTGACTGGAGGGATCTGGGAGCAAGAACCTTTCCCAGGGTTTTCCCAACCTTTTCCCCAAATCCCAGGGTCCAGGATGCTGTTTTTCTACATTTTGGAACACACACTCTTCAGCACTTTGAACACTTCACGTTTGTGACTGTAAGAGACTGTGAGCAGCTCCTGAATGGACACAGGGGACTCAAAGAGGCAGAATCAGCACGTGGAGCTGGCATTATCCACTCAGACTCCACTTCTAGGGCAATAACAAGAGCAAGGTCAACTTGAGGATGAAAGCCCAGGCCACCTAGGTCAGGACCGGTGTGAAGGGTGTATATGGGTAATGGAGCCACACCTCTGGTAGAGGTTGGCGTTGGCTCCCACTGGTGTCAAGCTCCTCACTCTGAGGACCTGGGCAGGTTAACCCTTGGCCTCAGAAATCCCCACATGGAACTGAGTGTTGTAAACACTCAGTGTGTGGTATTGAGACCCCATTGCCCAGAGTCCCCTAGGTTCTTCTGTCTGTTTCTGTACAGTTTTGTTTGCCTGTGCAGGAAGGATTTTCATGAAGGAATGACTTCAGCTCCAGGGAGGGGCAGGTGGGAATTGTATTCCTGCTCTAATGGAAATAAAAGTGCAGAATATCCGGGATGAAACTCAAGACAACAAAGAGCACAAGAGACAAGCATTATCCCTTTTCTTCTCTTACTTCAACCCGAGAAGAGGTTGCCTCAAACCTGATGAAGCCCAGAGCTTGCCTGGGGACAGAGCCGTAGGCTTTCAATTCAATTCCTCCAACCATGTGGTCACCTAGACCTTTGAGGGGAGTTCTCCTTAACCACAGAGGAACAGACCCCTGTGGGTGGGGGCATTGGCCACAGGTATGTATGAGATGAATATGCAGAGATAGGGGGCTTTGGGGCCCACACACCTAAACCCTATCAGAATGCATGGTTAGAAATTAAAAGACAGCCTACAGGGCCACAAGTCCAAGCAGGATCGAACACACTGCCTTAAGGAATGAATGCTCTGGTCCATTTATGACTTAGATTGG